AGAGACATGATTCGTAACCTCCATCAACGAAAATTTAACATGCTCGAACGCCTACGGACTCTACCGTGGTAAAACGCACAAGAATACTTGACAAATGTATGAACAACCTTCTCTTACCATCCAACGTATATACAGCCTCACCTCAAAACAAACTTATCCAATACCGCCCTAATTGCCAACCCTCCCTCTCTCCCCTCCTCCCCCAACACTCCCTCAATCTGCCCCACCAGTTCCACGGCTTTCGCCCTCAATTCCGCAATAACATTCCTACTATACTCGAAACTCCCCTTCTCCTCCATATATTTTATCGCAAACCTTTTCACCTCGTCGTCCTGGGTCTTCTGTTTGAGTATGTTGATGAGGATCTGGTTTGATGGGTCGGCACGGATGGCATGGATGACGGGGAAGCTGAATTTGCCTTCTGTTAGGTCTTCGCAGATTCCCTTTAGGTCGGAGTAGCCGGAGGTGGGGGAGAGGTTGAGGTGGTCGTCGAGGATTTGGAAGAGAAGGCCAATTGTTGAGACGAGGGGGGTGCAGTCGCTATTTGAAGATTAGCAGCAGTTCATAGTACTAGTTGTGGCACCAGATGTCATACATGTTGACAGCACTGTCTGCTTGCATGAGCTTGATGGCCAGCCTGAACAACCCTCCAGTTTTGTTTCCAACCATTTCTAGATAATCTGCTTCCGAGGGGCATGTCAAGCTGTCCCTCCAGTATAGGTCCATGCCCTGTCCACGGTGCAGGTTGACCATTTCCTCAGTGAATATCTCAATCATCTTAGAGTTCCGCAATTGAGACAGCTCGCGGAGAGCGACGAAGTATACATAATTGGCTGAATTGATAGTCTGAGCAACCCCGAATATGCGATTTGCGACCGGAATACCACGACGAAGCACGGAGGAGTCTTCAACGTCGTCGACTCTGTTGTTACACAAAGATCAGCCGCCCGTGCTCCTGATGCAGGTACTGTATGATAAAGACCGTGGGAGAAGAAAAAGAAACGGGACAGCGCGCTTACAATAATGAGGCCGTATGCAGCATCCCCACCACGCGGGTAATGACTTCCAAGCTCCCCGACGGAACTCTCAGCCATCTATTAAACGCTGCAATTGCTTGGCTGCGGATGTCCTTGCCGGGATGACCGTACAGGTAGTTGTATGGCCCCAGCAGAATCTTCTCCTTCTCCTCCGTCCACACCGTTTTTCCGTATATCAGGGCGTCGCCCATACCGTGCGACGGACCTGGAGGCGAAGGAACCATGGTAGCTGTATTGTAACCGCTGCCGTTGTTGACCTGCTGAGCCATTGCGTCTAGTGAGTGCGGTGCCATGATGTTGGAAGTACTGTGCGTGGATTTGTGTTTCTTGCTCTGGGCCATCCAGTCAATTTCAGACAGAGGGCGGAGAACGCTGGCGGGCTGTTTGACCCCGTTGATGAGGCCACAGGAGCTGGTGCGGGGTGGGATGGCGTTGGGGGACTGGAAGTTGTCGGAGCCCATGGTGGAGGTACGGGAGGGTAGTAAGGTGGTCGAGTGCTGCCCGCGACCACTTTGCTGATATCGTCGCCGAGGTGGACGGGCTCGAAAGGGAAACTAGACGGCACAGTGTGTGCGCGCTTATGGTGCCTGTATGCAGGCCCTGTGCAGGCTGTTCTCGATTGAGGCTGGGGTGGGACGGAGATGTGGGCACAGTAGGGGATTAATTGAAGCTTAACATGCAGGCCCGATAGAACTGGAAGATAACGACAGAGCGTGACGCTGATGAAAACCGCAAGGGAAGGGTAAAGAAGACGGAGGTAAAGGCATCAGCATAGTGAGACTGACAAGTCATGATGGTGATGCGGAAAGGCACATGCTCGAGAAGAGTTGACTGGGGTGAATGGCACAGGCGACGTTGAAGCTAGCTTGCCCACTTACTCCATGCCCAGGCGCGCGGAGCTGAAGCCCCGCCGATCACATGATTGCGGGGTATTCATTTTTGCGGCCTGAGGCAGTATACCGACATTTGATGGTCTCCGCCCTCGACGGCATGCTTTCTCTCCATTACAATAACATTTCAACCTCCCCGAGTCTTCCAAGGCCACGAAGATCGATTAATAAGCGCCTACATGAGACTGGACTGGGTTCAAGTGTATTTTTGCACTCTCGGGTGCTGCCACGTACTTCGACTAACCCCCTGGAACTATCTTAACGCTTGTGTCGTTTCTATAGTCTGCATCATTATACAGATTTGCCAGTGATTCTTTTACCTTCACGGGGCATTGGTTGGCAGGTTTCCGAGTACCTTAAAAACTACTACTACCAGCCGATTGCAGTATAATTAGAGAGTTTAGGCGTTGATCGTGCCGGTGAAACAAAGTCCATCAGAGACGGACGTCTCACAGAAACGTGCAAGAAAGCCTTATTAAATCGCACATAGCAATATAAAGTCTTCGGCCCTCGAAGACTCTCACCTTTAACCCCTTCTACCGGCTTAACTGTTTGGAGCCATGCCCAAATTCCTCTTGCTATGAAATATTGGGGTGATCACATTCAGCTCTGCTGAGATTTCCTTTAATAGGAAATAAATCTGTCCGTGATTGGTTTTCTAAACTAACATTGCGTTTTTCAACGCCGCTTTATTTTTATTGTTATTACAAGAAAATTAGAAATATTTTCCATCAATCATCTCAATTAGAGTGTATGAGATCTGGTCTTGTGGTCTAGTGGTATGATTCTCGGTAAGGATTCCTTTTCACCCTTCTTCTGAAAGTTCAAACTAACAATTAAACAGCTTAGGGTATACCCTGAGTAAACTTGCGAGAGGCCCCGCGTTCGAGTCGCGGCAAGACCCCACTTACTTTTTTTTTTTTGTTTTTCTTAGCTTTCTTCTTTTCAGAGAGGAGCTTTTTTTCCCCTTGAAAATTTCTGGGCACTTGGACCACGTTTATCAAATTCATCGAGTGTGCGGTTGCTAAGTAATCGCTGTCTAACCCTTTCAAACACTTAGGATTTCAACTTCTATGTTCAAGAACTCAAAAGCTCCCAATTCACATAATCGCGCCTAATTTTTCTCGGGTAGGAGTTTATGGCCTCTCTTACCGCACTACGGTACACCGCTTGCCTGATTCCAGTTCTTTTTTTTTTTTTAGCAAATAAATCTCATTCTACAACCACCACTGACATATTGATCCTTTTCAACCAGCGTATAAAATAAAGGGAATTGAGACTGAACCAAATCAGACCTAAAATGGCTACCGTTCCTTCTACAAAATCTATGATTCTGGACTTACCTCCGAGCTGCGTAGAATTCTGGCCTCTAAATCCCCAATATGCTGTCATAGGGACATACAATCTTCAAAAGGAAGAAGCAAACGCTGAACCTGGTGAGGGCCCCGAGGCAGATGAGCTCTCTGAGGTGGCTGAAGAGAAGAAGAGTCAGCACCGGAATGGCAGTCTCATTCTCGTAGAAGTGAATGGTGATGAAGTGTAAGTTAGCTCTTTCAATAAACCCTCTTCAATTCCAAACTTCTAGTTGTCCATTTTTTCTCAAGTTTTAGATTTCACCTTCTGTAAATGTGGAAGGAAAGTATCCTATCACGTTTGGTTTGCTTTAATGTCGCCGGTATCTTTTTGCACATCCCAATAATCGGCCTTGACATTTCCATATCTCTGAAGTCCCATTCTGATATATCCAGAAATATCATCCAAACACTTGCGACCCCCTCCGCCATCCTTGACCTCCACTTTTGTCCTTCTCACTCCCTACCCTCCCACTTTGGCGTCGCAACATCAACCGGCTCCCTCGTCCTCTACAAACTCACCTCCTCCAACTCCTCACCAATCATCTCCAAACTCTCATCCAACTCCTCCAAACCCCAAATCGCTCATGTTAAAACATTGCAATGGTTCCCCTCAGATCTTCTCGTCACGGCCTTCAGCTGGCATCCAACCGAACCCATAGCCGCAATGACTCTCACAGACGGCTCAGTCATGCTAGGCCACACCGAGCATCCGCTACATGCTAAACAGGTAGCTCAACATGATTTAGAAGCCTGGACATTAGCAATCCGACCCGAAGATTCCAATGTCAGCATCTTATCCGGCGGCGACGACAGCGCACTTATATCCACTTCACTTCCATCCCCCCTCGCCTTCAGCGATAACGAAGAAGACATCGCTGCACTATCCCCCCTATCGACATGGAAAAATAAAAAGATTCACCAAGCCGGCGTCACAGCCATCCTCCCCTTGTCCAACCTCGTTCAGGACCAAAACCTCATACTCACAGGAAGCTACGACGACCACATCCGGCTTCTCTCCGCCCCGTTCCTCGGCCGCCCAACCGTCCTCGCAGAAGCCAACCTCGGCGGCGGCGTATGGCGCCTCAAACTCCTCAATCCCGCTCCCGCCACTGCGCCGGTTTCCTTGGATGGGGAGGGGTATGGTGTTATTGCTGTTGTGTTAGCAAGTTGTATGCATGCGGGTGCGAGAATTGTGAAGCTGATTAGAGAGAAGGGAGAAGGTGGGGATGCGTGGGGGTTCGAGGTTGTCGCGTGTTTTGAGGAGCATCGGAGTATGAATTATGGGAGTGATGTGCAGCCGGTGGGGAATGGGAAGGAGGTGGGGAGGAGTGGGGAGGAGAGTCGGACGTTTCTAACGACGAGTTTCTATGATCGGTTGTGTTGCCTTTGGAGGTTTTAAGAACCTGTCCTTTGACCGGCAGGAGAGAGGGGTTTGAGTGTGAAAGGAAAGATATAAGACAGGGGACTGGGCTGAACTGGAGCAGAATAGTAAAACAGCAAAAGGCAGATCAAAACAACTCAGCTCAAAGGAGTGCTAGAGTTTGCGAAGTCAACAAAGCGGTTTATAACCAGGGACGGGATAAACGGTAGATGAGAACAGGATGCTGGCCCTCCTCTCCTTGATCCTTTTACCTCTTCTACTTTCCTCCTCTTTCTCTTTCTCTCTTCTTAGCGAAGTCATTGTAAAGGTAAGATCTTACATGGTTTTTTGTCAAATAGTCTGTAATCTACGTATCGCTCAGGGCAATAGGTCAGGGTAGATGAAATCAACTCAACCCAACCTAACTCAACTCCACTCAACGCAACGCAACGCAACGTAACGCAACTCAACTCAACTCAACTCAACTCAACTCAACTCAACTCAATCCAGAAAAACTGGAAGTTTGGCCTTAGGAACCTCCGCCTTGAATAAATCTAGCGTCTCATTCCAAAGTTTCTTTTGCGTTGCCACGCCCTCCATGGAGAGGACAAAGTTAGAAGGCCTATGCACCGTAATTAGTAATGCAGGGGGTGGAAGCTGCTGCTCAAAAACTTACGATGTAACACGTTGTTCACTAAGGTATTTACCATGACTCGTCTCGTGTTCTACCAAAGCATCTACCAGACAGTGTCCACCTTGCTGCGTCGTCCATCCTGTCAACCAGAGGAAGACAGTGGTGATGCCAACAGGCTTCTCGTGTCTATGCAGCCCGCTATAGCAGAGGCCCGGATTCACAGTGTTCACAACGACCTTATCATTGGTGATCTTGCTAGCGAGTTGGAGAGCCCAGAGGACGTTCAGTAGCTTGGTCTTGTTGTACCGGTCCATACCGCTGCCAAAAGAGCTCTTCTCGTCCATACGCGAGATGATATTTGGAGCAGTGTATTCCTTGAACGACACCCAGAAGTGTACTTCAGACGACACTATAGTCATCCGTGAAGGCTCGTTGGTTATGTTCGTTGTTTTCTCAAGCGTAGGGAGCAAAAGAAGGGAGAGGAGCGCAGTGCCTAGATGATTAACCTGGACGTTATTCTCGTGGCCCATTCTGGATTTCGAGTATTCCAGTTTCTTCAAACCAGCATTAAGTAGCACGAAATCCAGGCGTTCGAGTTGCTCGGCCTGCTGGCTGAATGCCAAGATGCTGTCGTAGTCATCGTAGTCAAGCTGCCAAACTTCGAGATTGATGTTGGGGGTGACGGTTAAGATTGCATTTTTTGCACCATCGCCCTTGTCCAAGTCTCGAACAGCTATAATCAGACGAGAGAGCTTGTGAGATGCGAGCTCTTTAGCAGCTTCGAAGCCAAGTCCTCCGATGCTAGCGCCGGTAATGAGGGCAGTTTTACCCTCCAAGGACTTTGAAGATGCAAGTGGCTTTGGTTTGCGCGTCCATTGCCGCCAGAAGTATCCGAGAATTCCACCCATAGTGGCAGTGAAGGGAGGTAAGTTATGATGATACTGATGCCAGCACGAGGAGAAACGGCGAAATAGGAGGAGGGAGGACAAGAAAGAGGAGGGAAGGAATATGGAGAGAGAGAGAGGGTAAATAGAAGAGAGGGACGAGATGGCGGGAATGAGATGTTTACCAGCCTGTCGGGATCATTCCTACGAAGGTGGAACCAATAGATACACCACGACACTCTGAAAACGAGCAAGGCTGTGACGAGTGGGACATCTGAATGGTCGTCCGCGCCTCACAGAAAGGATTAATTTCACGACTCACAGAAAGAATTAATTTCACGACTCACAGACGAGGCAATGACCAGGACCAAATATCAACGTAGGTGTTGGATATTGGTAGGATAGCAAAGCGAGACACACATCCCGCTCAGAAAACACCTTAGGATTCGTCGCACCAACATAGTACTCAGTCAACCTTTAACAAAATACCTCCTTCTAGCTACCTTGGCATTTACTAATCGATCTAACACAAAGCCAGAATTTATGGCACATATCAAAGGCCAATTCAAAGAAGAGTATGAACGTTAACTTTTCTGCCTATTCATTCCTTGCACGACATTTCTCACCCAAAGTTGAAAATCCCAGGCACATTTCTCTGAAAAAAAAAAAAAAGAACTCGGACCAAACTCTCTCTTTGGCCTCTTAATCCTCACATCGTTTCCACCACGGATGTCGATGCTGGCGAGGAGCGGAACAAGAAGGCTGGTGACAAGAGTTCATCATTTGAAAAAGGGGAAGGGGTATACAAATCCGTGGGATAGTTATAAGAAGCTTTCGCCGTGAAATATTGAGTCTAAGATAATATGATGAGTACTTTTTGGCCATATAGAACAGCGTTGTCTTTAGTCCGACTGTCAAAATATCCGTTGATTTTTCTGCTCTCGGAATAAAACCCTGCCAACGCGCTCTACGTATTAATGCACGCTGACTGAATTTAGGCATTTTTAGCTAAGCGTGTAACTTTCGTACAACTAAACACAGGATTCAGGAAAGCTGAGCGCATCCTACTTTATCGAAAGGTAGCGAGAAGGGAGACGTTAACTAAGCCCCTGTTATACAGTGTAGTCGCTAGTAAATCCGGCTTTTCCCTTAAACACTACAACAACAAAACTCTGCCTTGCTGGCAAACGAAACTTTTGGTACCCAACCTTATATATCCGGTCAAGCTCCATAACTTTAAGCACGTGATTTGTCATTGCTTGAAAGGATACTTCTCTGTCACAGTTTGAGCTCACAGGCCCTGTTGTCAGAGCAGACCAGCCGTTCTCCCTGCTAGGTTGGCCAAACTTTATGCCAGTCAACATTCAGTACCGTTAGATACAAATTTGCAAGCATATAGTAACGCTCGGCAGCATTAGTTTGCTATTGTTGACGTACAGAAGCCAAGAGCGGTACAAGGGGCCCGAAGAGCTGGAGGTGCAAGTGATGGAGACGGAGGATGCTTGGGAGGAGCATCCAGACACGCTGATCCAGAGATGTTCATCGGACCGAACCGAAATGACCGTACGGGAACGGTACGTTCGCCTCTCTGGCTACCAGTCGAGCTACGGCTAGCGCGTGACTTTGAGCCCAGTAGTGTATAAGTTTGTTTTTCTATGTAACCGTCGGCGG